TCCATTCTCTGTATCCTCTACGATACCTAGCAACTTCCACTTCTTTTCGGAAGTCTGATGACGGACTAAATCTACTAGACAAGGAGCGAAGTAACCTCCAATATCCATAATGATAATTTCAGCTCCTTTCGGAATCTCAGCATTCATTATTAGTTTGACGACATTGTCAGGAGTTTTGAGATAACTTTTTGTCACTTCTGGATGAATAGCCTTCCCAAAGTCTTCATGGTTCTTCACCCATTCGGCCATTTCACGCATATGCTGAGGTCGTTCAGAATCTGGTGCACCTTTGAATATTATGATTTTTATACAACCAATGTGCTTCAATGCACGTAAGTATTCTGGTAGGGTAGGTAATAAATGTACGACTACAATCAGAAATGGATCATTCTGCCTCGCAGTTATTTCCGTAGTGATACGCGTTTCGGCACCTTGCGACGATGTACAATGAACTAACTTCGGCATAGTAGCACGTCGTTTTCGACTTTGTTCATCATCGGAAGGAGATTTGTATTCATTGGATGCAAATGGTACAGGTGAGAAAGTAGTTCGTATGGCTTTGAAGAACTTCTGCACTTGTAAAGCAACCGTACTGGTGCCCTCAGTCAATTCCATGAACGTAGACATTCTTGGAACTAGAATTGGTAATACTTTGATTCAATCTAGAATTTCTCATTGATATTAAACTTGAATAATTTTGCTAGTATGTAAAGCAAGTATATCCTGGTGAATAGTTCAGTAGAAAATAAAAGAATCAATATTAATGTACACATGGCACGGTACTCTGATATATTATGAAATTACTTTAAGATAAAGCAATACAGCAAACAAAACTCTCCAAAAACGAGATATTTCTCAGCTTTGTAAACCGCTTTTCAGACGAGATATATCAACGTTTTGAAGAGTAAAGACGACGACTTTTCCTTTCTTTTCATAAGATATACTAAGAGAGGGACTTGGTCGTCCATAAACTAGGCTATCTCAACTAAAAAGCATTTAACAGAGATTGAGAATAGAGTGTAGGGTGTGAGTGTGGCTATGGATAGCGCGCTGAAAACATGGCAGACTTGTCCAAACCCATCCACACACTTGCATCGAAACATCAACAGCCACACCTATCCTGTATTCTCTACTAGAACGAGACAACACGACAACAGAACATAGATCAAGGCGAATTCAATTGCCCGATATGTCGGTTCTTTTTATCCATTTTTAGGTGTCGTTTAGTTGAAAGCTCATACGGACAGCTGCATCCATACCATACTAAATGGAACAAAAAGCGTTGCTCCCCCAGGACTCCAGTTTACACTCAGGAAAAACCTTTTCTTTTTTCTATAAAATTTGGCGTTGAGACGCTTTTTGATAAAAAAGCATTTTTACAGCTATCAAAATTACAACCAATACGTTTGTTCCAACTGATGCATAGATTATCTTTTTCTCTCTGACTCATTGTAATACAGGACAATATGTAGAATGGAATTTAAAAAATCCAGTACGCAAGGAACTTGTGTGCGAGAAATGCGCGACTAGATTTGGTTATTTATTGA